GTGTGTGTGTGTGTGTGTGTGTGTATACATGTTTAGCACCAATATGTATCTGAAATAAAAATAATATTTATTGAATGTATGGATATAGATCAAAATAGTCAGTGAGAAATCCCATTAAGAAAATTAACTGACTCCTCATGGGTCAATTAATTTTGTCTATACAGAAACAAATGTATATATGCATGCTCTACAATAACTCTCATTGAGATTAATAAGTCCAGCTGCTTTTATGTTGGGAGTGTATTAGGTTAACACAGATTTCCCTTTTAGTCACTCTTTTGAAGTTCAAGAAGAGGATGCAGAAATGCCTAAGTGATTTATTTGAATTTGTCTAATTTATGGTATTCCTGTTCTAAAGAAAATATTTACTCCAAATGACATGGCAGAATAGAAAAGATAAGGAAAAGAGAGAAAACAAGTAAATGTGCTATATTTTAAGTTTTGAAAGCAGTTTGTTTTGTAGTTTACATGATAAGAAGAAAAGTTGATGTTTCATATTCTTGAAAAATGTAATGTGTTACAGATGGTTAGAATCCTGCAGTATTCTTGTCATCTTAAACTAGCAGAAGAAATAATTGAAGGCTTGTTTTGGGTTTGAAGTCATAATAGCAAAGATTGGATTTTCATGTATGGCAGAGCAAAAACTAGCTTTCAGTAAAGAGTCAGTGGAATGTGCGTCTGTATGTGTGCTTTTTAACCCGCCTCCTCATGGCAGCATTTTGGAGGATTTGTAGTATTTCCTTCTATACTTTTATATACCACATCAATAAGGGTCATTCCTATCTCTTCCCACTTGGCAGTCTGACTTAAAAAAGTGAATAAGTGAAAAAAAACCTCTTTGATTGATATGTGTAAAAGAGACCTGAGATGAGTTGAGAATAGCTATCTATATCTGTTGTTACTTTTCCATCGATATTTAGTTCAAAAACTACCATTGCTTGAGATGGTTCTGCCTTCAGAGAGGTGGCTCACCATCTTTGCCATCCTACAGTTGTTGTTTATCTGAGTCTGGCAATCGTGCTCTTTTTTCTTCTTCAAGCACTTGATAAAGGCTGGATAAATGGATGCTATGATTATAATTGCTTAGATGTACAGATGTGCGCCAATGATACTTTAAAGTCTATGGTCGAATATTATTTTTCATTCTATACCAGATTTTACTTAGCACCAACCAGGAAGCTGTATCCCATATCAGAGGTCTTTTGGTGTTGGAATAATGGCAGGATGTTCAGTAGAGAGTTACAAAACTTGGCTCTGTTGGAAAGTCAGTTGGTATTTTGGCCTGTGGGAAATTGAGCCTTTTCAGAGTGATGAAAAGTTGTTTTCATTCATGCAAAGTTATCAGTGTGCTAGTAGTGTTTGTTGAGCCCAAGTATCTAGCATTTTTTTTCATCAGTGTGTATCAGCTAATGCTGCCTACATCATGCTCCTACTTACAGTCCTATCAGGTTTCTTGTATTTACTTTTGTCAGTGAATTTTCTTCTTTGTTGAGATCACTCCTGGTTTTGCTTAAGGTTTCTGAAATGAGTTGAAATTTAAGCATCATGGTGGATTCCAATGTTTTTGAACATTGGTATTAGATCAAATTTATCTTCTAGGGGTCAGTTGGCATATTCATATTGGTTTCAGACATGGAAAAGGGAATATTTTAAAGTAAAGAGGTAGATTGCTTTAAACTCTGAGTTGTGGGAAAAATCCTTCAAGGAAGGGAATTCAGGAAAAACAAAACAATGTGGAACAGAAAGTATACACAGTTTTAAAGATACAAATGCATCTTCAGAGATCTTCCATAGTCTTGTGCTTTGAGGCTTGTTTGCATTTGGGAAGAGAAGCCTACGAACAAACTTAAAAGATTGGGTTCTTCCGCCCCTTGTGAATACTTAGTACGATTGCCCTTGCATTCAGAGGTTTTACCAAAATGTTTGACAACATGTATGGGAATTTTTTGATGTTGTACTGTTAAAATTCTAGTTATATCATTTTGGTTATGTACTATATAAACATTTTATATCTTTTATGTATCACTTAATAGAAAGTACTATTTTCCTAAATTTGCTTTTTTTGTGGAAAAAATAGAGAATACCAAAGAAAATAATTCCCTTTCCCAGTGTTTTCATAGCAGACAAATCTTGATTTCCATTTTTCTTGTGGTTGAATCTGTTCGCTTTCCAGTTTTTGTGCTTTTTACCACAAGAGCTGGAATAACTCTTCCTCCATGCTGTATTTTTGGGAGTATGAAATTCTGTTCAAAAGACATCTCTAGTTTATGTTTTGGACATCTGTATCTACATTTTTTAAATGTAAAGAAAACTTGTAATAAAATCTTACTTGATTTTATTGGATTGAGATAAGCAAAGTTAGCCTCTGTGTACAGCAATTTAAATTTTCAGCTGCCAGGCCTGCTTGTCTTTTGATGATCTCTTCTTCATCTGATAGTGCTAATTGTCATGGGTCATATGATCAATATTTTTGTATTTTTTTTAAATGTACAAATTCTTTACATTTCATTCATTGTACAGCGTTCTAAAAAGAAGCTATTTTACATGCTGAATGTCATGTGATTTATATGCACATGAGTTTGTGGTAGTTTGCACAGACTTCAATAGAAACATAGCCAACATGTTTTAAAGAAGTAGCTATTTTGAATGAGCTTTACTTATTTTGCTCTTAATATTCATTTGGTTTGATCAAATTGGGTCATTTGGGCATACAATTCAATGATAAATTTAAAGAAAATTGGATTACAAAAGCAATAAAAAATAATAATAATCTGTTAGATATTCCCTTTTGCTTCAGTTCTGCAGTGTGAGAGAGCTTAACACAGCCAAACCCTTGGGAGGGAAAAGCCCTTAAAGAAAAGGCATAACACTTCTGGAGAAGAGAGTTTCTGATTATAATGTAAACTGACTTCACTAGATATCTGATCCACTTGGATAATTACATTTCCATGTGACAATTAAAATAATAATGAACATTTTTTTAATCTGGAAAGAAGTGTTGCATTTTCTTGGATTCAAAATACATTAACCTTAGAACTAAAATGCTGTTGGGAAAAGAGACATGCAGATGTGCACACATTTTTTAATATTTGTTTTTTTATATAATTGTTCACTCAGGGAAGCCATTTGTTAAAAGAATATCAAACCAAATATTGCTCAATGTATACGACTGGTATGATGCCAAAGGGAACGAGAGAAAAAGTATTTCTATAGAACCCAGTATTGATACAAATTTCACCCTTTTTGTTATTACATTGTAGCATAACATGTACATAAAGGGGTAGTGCATGGTTTATGACATCACAATGCACATTTTTTTTTACTTTAACAATTCCTTGACTTGCTGTAATGCCTTGAATAAATGGATAATATCTACCATTACAGTTCACAGAATTCTAGACTGTGAATGAATGTAATGGATGTAAATTAAACTTTCACTTATGTAGGAAATTGTACAACTCAAATAGATACATTTAAATAAATTCGTTTCTGCCATTTTAATTGCTGTTGAGTCTTATATATATATACCCCAAGTTAGTAACCTCCTTAGTGTAATCATCTACCTCCTTTTCTTCTGAAATTTGGGAAGATATGTCTCTACAGAAGAGGTAGATATGCCAGCAGATATTGTCTAATTCTATCTTAAAAAGTATGCAATTAATACAAATGTTAACAGCTAATAATGTTTAGAACTTAAATAAAAGTGAGTCTAAATTCTGGTTCCTTTGTAATTAGTTATGTAAAATTTTGTTCATATGGCACGTTTATAATATATAAAACTTTTATAAGTGTTACACATCCAGAATCAGGCAGGATTTACAGACCTTGTTCAGCCATGAAGACTTCCTTAAAATATCTTGCCTGTCAGAAATTTAATATAGTTAATCTGTAGAGAAGTAGTTTAGCCAGCAAATGTAACTTCATTCTGCTGAAAATCCCCCACAATTTTATTGGTACTTTACTTCTTCAGATAAAAGGTTTTTCTAAAAAAAAAAAAATATCAGTGTTTTCCTATTCTAGATTATAAAGGGCAAAAATCTAATCTCAAATGGGCTCCTGAGTCAAAGGAAGTAACTTGCAATTTAGTTTGAGTAAAATTCTGCTTATTCACATTGGGTCTGATTGAAATTACCTAGTCAACACAAAGTTTTAACCATAGAATTTGTATGTCTTCATATAAGAGAAAATTCACTTATAATAGTAACTATTAGAATATGTTATGGTATTATATCATGCAAAATGTCTTATAAGAATTTATTTACCTTTATAGCTTACACTTTAATATTTCTTGCGAACATTGTCAAAAGGATTTAAACTGAATCTTGAAAAAGGAGTTTTATTTTCAAGAAAACAATTTATAAAATATTAGAGAAACGCAAGCATCCTTTTATTATGTAGGATTGTCATTAATATAGTGTAATTACTTGGAATGTGTAGTAGAAACTAGGAACTTCGTAGTTAAAATTCATGAATTTCCATGAATTTATTAGATTATTAGTAACTATCTTAACTCCATTTGTTGTTATGTAATAAAGCAATGGGACTGCTAATGAATGTGCATCATTTTATAAAGATTATGCACATTCTTTTAATGATACAAATTGTCAATTAATGTTATCCTATATTTGTTACTACTTTTGTAATGATTAAAATGAAAATGATGTTATGATTTCTGAACTGTTAAAATAATGGTTTTTAGCAAATTATTTATTTAATATGTATCCTGACTTTATTATTTTTACAAATAACTCAAGGCAGTGAATATATTCAATACAACTCCTCCTATTTTCCCAACAACAATCCTGCAAAGTGGGTTGATTAAATCACTGAGAGAGTGTATAGTTTGTTTAAAAATGGATGTTTTAAATTGTTCTCTCTGCAAGATGTAAAAACAATGTCTTAAGTACCAAATACACATATTCATTTTCAAAATATTTGGTTTTTTCACTTTAAAAAGTGAGAGTAAAACATTGTACAAATAATTTTTGGTTTATTAACAGGTAAAATATTATAGACACTTGGCACCTGATCATCTCCTGCAAATATGCCATCGACTTGGACCTCTTCTAGAGCAAGAAATTCCTCAAAGTGTCCCAGGAGTTCAAACACTATTAGGAGCTGGAAGACAGTCTTTGCTCCGCACAAATAAAAGTATGAGTATGCAAAAAAAAAATGGCTTGATCATCTTTTTCACTATGTTTTTATGCTTATATTTGTTTTTTTAAATATTTAAATAGGCTGCAAACATGTTGTGTGGAAGGGTTCTGCTCTTGCCGCATTGCATTGTGGGAGACCTCCAGAGTCACCAATAAATTATGGCAGTCCTCCCAGTACAGGTAAGAATGCTATTACATAATTGTAGAATGTTGGCAATGTAATACTGTATCTGTGGTGATAGTTTTTAGCATGTACTTTCTCCTATGTACAGTAGGTTTCTTTAAAAACTTGTATATGTTAAATCTGATTTTAGGTTTTAAGAAACAGTCTTAAGCAACCAAAACTGACTGGATATTTCTGTATGTATTTAGGAAGCCTATCTGGGCAGTATAGAATTCTGACACCTCTCCCCCAAAAAACATTTTGGTATCGGGAGCCTTTTATAACATTCTGGTTTTTTTTTTGTCATATTATTGCTAAAAGTTTTTGAAGGATTGTTGAAATGAAGTTTATACCAATTTTTTCCTCTTGTTTTGGAAGGATCAGGCCTTGATTCTGAAGTTCCCCAAACTATAAGAATTGGGTTATATTTCACTACCACTCATTCAGCAATCATTTGAAGTTATGATGTTGTTGAACAAGGGGCACTTACAATTGTTTTTGTAGTTGCATCCATTGCAGTATTATCACATGTCCTGTGATTGGGTATTTGGCTATTGGCATCTTGCTCACAATTACAACATGCAGCATCCTATTATCACACGATTGCCATTTACACCCTTCACTGCCAGCTTCCAACAAGCGAAGTCAATAAGGAAATTGGCAATAGTTGCAATTGGCAATCATGGCACTTTGGGATGCTGGGATTACACATGATTCGTCTAACAGCTACTGAAACTGCTGGAACTGTCTGAAGTTGGTGCAATGATGTGATGTCACCCTTTACAACTATGTAGTTTAACTTAGTTTCTGGTCCCAATTACTATTAGTAAACAAGGACTATCTGTACCTAGAACATTTCAGTTGGGTGTCTAACCTGGGTTAGCAAGATTTTAGATTTAATTTTAGATTTCAGGGCTCACTAGATCTGAGTATATTCCATCCATAGTTCTGGATGAGGTTGCACTAATCCAAACGGAACCAGTGCACAACATGGAGGGCCTCCTGGATTCATAGCTCCTGCTTGAGTAGTAGGTGGCAACCATGGCCAGGAGGACTTTTTCCTGGACGAGGAGGTATTGTCATGATTACTTATGCCTTGATCCCAAGTAGATTTGTCAAAAGTGTTGCACATGGGGCTGACCTTGAAGAACATGCAAAAGCTGCAGTGGCATGGGCAGTTGTGGGTAAACCTCAGTGTGCTTGGGCTATCCATCTGCTCTATGCGATACATTGGCTTTCATTGTGCTTCTGGATGCAAATCAAGGGGCTAATCAGCTGATTGTTTCTACTGATTGGCCAATGGGCAACTATATAAACTGAATTTAAAAAAAGACTCGGGAAAAATACTAGTAGTAAAATAAAGTAAATGTCCTAATGATATAATAGCATGGTTTCATGTAACTTTACAGATCTGGTGTTCATGATCCCAAGATTTTTCTGTTCCATAAAGGATCAGGAAAGATATGACAAGTTAATAATTTCCTTCCACATTTTAACTGGGGAGGTGCCTTTAGAATGCTTTCTTACACTGCAGAGAAACCTTCCTTGATATGCCTTAGAGCAGATTGTTCACTTCTGGTTTAAAAAACAACCAGAATTCATGTTTATGTCTGAATTGCAAGAATTACTTAATACAGAAATGACTTCCAATGACTGGTATTCCTGCCTTGGCTGAACTGAAGTTAAACTATGTTTAACTAATCACAGTTTATTAAGCTTAGATATTCAGAACTTCATTTTGTAAAAAATTATAATATTTTGATTTTTTTTTATCTTTGCACATGGCAGAAAAAGTTGGGGAAAAGTATTGTATCTTCATAATGGTTTGTGACTTCTGAATTATACTTTAAATTATATCTGAATAGTCTCTTGAGTAAGAAAACAGTTGGTTGCTATTGTTGCTGCATTTATTTGTGGTTTTAATAACATTGAATAGGCATATTAATTACATTAGAATTTGCTATACAATTTGAGTTATAGAGGATTAATTAAAATTTGTCTGCTCTTAAAAAATTAAAATTACTAGCTGAGATAGTTGACATAAATTTCTTAACATATAAATGTGCCACTGGAGCATTCTATTTTAATCAATTTTGAACAAAAATATTTTAAGATTTTTTTAGAAATTAACAATAAATTAACAGAATAACATTGTTGGAAGGAACCTTGAAGATCTTCTGGTTCAAACCCCTGCTCAAGCAGGAGACCCTAACATTTCAGACAGTGTTGGGTTCCTGTATGCTGTGATCGGGCCAGATGTCCACCTTGGGCACGCACACTGCACACGTATGCGCACGTGACTGCCCTGCGAAGCCCCAGCGGCTTGGCGAGGTTGTGCAGGTGCCATACGCTTTTTCCCTAAAAAAGAGGTAACGAATGCAGGTGAGTGGATGGGCCCACCGAAACATTGTTCCGGTACGGTGGCCGCTGCTCCCAGCGGCCACTGGTACATCATACTGCCCGGAACCCACCACTGATTTCAGACAAAGGGTTGTCCAATCCCTTCTTAAAAAGCTCCAGTATAAATCTGGTTTTACTAGGCTTTATAAAGTGCTGCTAACATTCCATGTGATCTTGATTCTATTCCTCTATTAATGCAATCTTGGACTGCATTTGGCTTTTTTGTAACATATAGCAACAGTTTATATTGTATGTCAATATGGGATATGTACAGAATACATTACAGTTATGAAGTCAAATACGTTAATTGTAGAATATTTGATAATGTAACATATAAACATTGATCTATGACACTATTGTTTGGAAAAGTGGAAATGTAAAAGATCATTTTGCAAATGGGACATGTCAAAGGCACGGTGATTATTTCTACTGAACAACCAAAATAATAAATTGTCGCAACCATTTTAAAGAATAATTTCATGAAATTATCAGAATAGTTTGTCTTCAAATAGCTATTCTTTGCTTAAAACTAGGAAATGCTTTATTCTGGTTTTGGTAGTTTTTATTTGGTAAATACAAAAGCTGTGAATTTGCTCTTTGTCCTGATAAGATATCAACTAAGTATGATTATGATGATTTGCTAATACAATCAAGAATATATTGAGTTACATTAAAGCTTATATAATTAATAAAATATTTTGATTTGTTAGTAATTATGCATTATTGTTGATATCTATCTATCTATCTATCATTGGTCATATAGAAAAATCATAATATATCACTATGAAATAACCTGGGATTCATGATTTAAAATATATGAATTAGCAGATGGCAGTATTTGAAAAATTGTTTCTAACTTTGCATAAGTAATTAAAGAAAGCCGGAAGAAATAGTTTCATTTGTTTTATCCCAGGATTATGTGAGGTATGTTTAAAGAAGCAGAATTACAGAAGCCATCAGAAAAATTAGATTATGATCTTAATATAAGCTTAGATATAATATAAAACATTGTTTTTGGTGCTTTAACCAGGAATGCTTAAGGTAAGGCTCTATAGCCCACATGTGCTTGTTTATTAAACAAGGAGTTTTGGCTTGATATGGCATGCAAGTATATAAATAAAAAACCTTTTTATCTCCATTGAGCAAATTCAATCAGTTACAGTAATTATAATGGCATCATAAGTAGTAGGAGAAAAAACTGGTAATAATCACTAAATATTTAGTGATTTGACAAATCAAAGTGCCATACAGGTAGGCCTTAAATTACAATTCTAATTGGGACCACTAAGTGATGCACATGACTGAATTACTAAGCAATGGCGATCCCATCCACTCCCTTTTCCTTGTTAACTAAATCCCACCAGTCATTAAGTGAGGACACGCCATTATATTAGCCATTCCAGGCTTGGTTGCTTCCTGCCCTGAGCTTTGGTAAAGTAGGGACTGCATCCCTTGCCTCCTCTTCCATTCTACCCCCCCCCCCCCAAACTACCTGTGTGCTTGTCTGGTAATCAAGATTTTAATCAGACAATCTGTATTGAAATAATTGCACACATATCCAGGCCAAATTAAGCTGTGGTTTTACTTGCAAACCTCAAGTCTAAAAGAGCATAGGCATCTATATAGGCAAAAGTACTTCCTTAAGTTGTCTTGGACTTGATCAAATAGAACAAGAATTTAATTGTTACATTTTAGTTACATGCATTATTCATTGAATTATACTCAAAGGTATTTTCACATTATTGCAGTCTATTTAGAAGTTGATAATTGTTTCTAGTCCCAAGTTCTCCTTACACAGATGACTGCTAATAATTGAGCATCTTTCACTCTAAGGGAAATATATTGGTCAGATCTGTGATTTTTTGAAGTGCAATAGTTTTTCTGTTTATTTCCATTGTTGAGACCTATGAAGTGGTATGCATAGGTAGTCCTCGATTTATAACAGTTCATTTAGTGATCGTTCAAAGTTACAACAGCACTGAAAAAAGTGACTTAAGACCAATTGTTATAATTATGACCTTTGAAGCATCCCCATGATCATCATGTGATCGAAGTTCAGATGCTTAGCAACTGACTCATAGTTATGACCGTTGTAATCACCTTTTGCAACTTTCTGACAAGCAAAGTCAATGGGGAGGCAGAGATTAACTTAACAACCAGGTTACTAACTTATCAACTAGCAGTGATTCACTTAACAATTGTGGCAAGAAAGGTTGTAAAATGAGGCAAAACTCACTTAAATGTCTCACTTAACAACAGAAATTTTGGGCTCAATTGTTGTAAATTGAGGACTACCTGTATTAATTACATTCTGACAAATTACTGTGTAACAATATGTTTAATGACAGAGAGATTTTGGGGAGATAAGATGCCTTCCTAGAATGAAGTTATGATAGATTTTATTCGTAATCTACTGCAGTGCTTATTGTAATTGTTCATTACAAACATAATTTATTTACATGAATTATGCATACAAATAACAGCTGAAATCTTTATTTATTACTTAACAAATATATCTCTTTTTGAACATATATCTAAATATACATATTTTTTATAGCTGAAACTATCTTTTCAAGAAAACTTAATGGAAAATACAGACTGGAACACCTTATTCCAACTGCTGTGTATCAGCATATGAAAATGCATAAGCGAATCCTGGGACATTTGTCTTCAGTGTATTGTGTAACTTTTGATCGGACTGGTAGACGGATATTCACAGTAAGTGCAGATTCATTAAAATATTTAAAAATGTATTTCTGCAGTGTAAGAGGAGTAGAGTGATGAGTATGAATTAAGAAATAAAATGAAAGAAAAATAAATGTTTTGTTTGACAAACCACCAGAAAGAGGGAGAATGTAATTGATGAGAATTAGTGGAATTGAGAACAAAAGGGCTAAAATAGACATTACAATATTTTTATTGACAATTTGAACTTACAAACAATATGTTCTGAAACTCAATGCATCCCTTGGATCTCCTTTACTTTTCTTAACTAATATTATATCCTTCTTTCCCATATCTGTCTGGAGAGAGATATAATAAACTTGAACCATTTGCTTTGGATAGTTGAAGTAAATGATGGTGGTTATAGTAGCAGCTGATGATGCTTCCAGCCAGCATTTTCTTCTGCAGTAAATGAGAGCAATGCTTGAGATGATTTTATTGTAATTTTTACTAGGTATCATTAAGATAGGTAAACAACATTTTCAATAAAGAACAAACATAACACTCTTATTGAACATTGTACTGCTTTCCAGTGAAAGAATTAAAATGTACTGTCTGTCTGAAAAAAACATTTGTGTTATTCTTTGCTGAGCTACTTTCTACTTATCTGTTAAGAATGTATAAATAATAGTAGTGATGGGAAATCTTTGCCTTAATATAATGAGAAAAAAATATTTGCAGCCCTTCTTGGACAGAGTTTCTGACAATTAATGCAGTATTTGGAATTAACAGTATTTTTCTTCCTTAGTTTTTAGCATGTGTAATAGCTGTAATGAGGCAGGTCAGTGTTATATAAATAACTTTTTCTTTTATCTCCATGTAATTAGATTTAAGAAAATCATAATACTTCAAGGCATTTAAAGTACTTAAATTCAAACAGACCTTTATCTGTGTGCTCTTTTGAACACTCAAAAGTGAGAGAAAGGAGTCTAGTATATTGGGGAGGTTAAAATTATGCTATACAGTATACATGTGGGAGGATTTCAAGTAATCTTTCTTATCTAAAGGATTCCTTGGATCTAACTAACCTTATAAATAGTCTAGCTAACCTTATAAATAAATAAATTTTGGTGATTAATCTCTTTATAGGGTTCTGATGACTGTCTTGTGAAAATCTGGGCAACAGATGATGGACGTTTGCTTGCTACTTTAAGAGGGCATGCAGCCGAAATATCAGACATGGCTGTTAATTATGAGAATACCATGATTGCTTCAGGGAGCTGTGACAAGATGATCAGAGTATGGTGTCTACGAACATGTGCTCCTTTGGCTGTTCTACAAGGACACAGTGCATCTATAACATCTCTACAGGTAAAATCGATGAAATAGATGAATAGAAGATTTAAAATTTTGGAGGCAAGATAACCGATAAGGAAGTAAAACAGTTTATGCTACCTAATTTGTATTCTTTTTCATGTACAGTAGTGTAATTAAATATTATGCATTGTCTAGACCAGTGTTTCTCAACCTTGGTCACTTGAAGATATCCGGACTTCAACTCCCAGAATTCCCCAGCCAGCATGGCTGGCTGGGGAATTCTGGGAGTTGAAGTCCGGCTATCTTCAAGTGGCCAAGGTTGAGAAACACTGGTCTAGACAAATTTATAATTAAATTATTTTTTTCCACTATTGTGAAAAAAATGAAACTAGGAAAGAAGGAAAAGCATATGTGTGGTCATACATTAAAATATTGTGCATGGGAGAGAGAACTATTGCAAAGAGTTTTCGGAGAGAGCATTGCATTTGGTTACTGCTAAATTTTTATAGAAGTGGTGGTAATGACACTTTAGTATATTCCAAATCACTTGATTATTCATTTCCTTGCTTATTATAAGTAAAAAAAATTACCTAACAGCTTTTTTTTTTTTTTTTTTGCAGTTTTCTCCCCTGTGCAGCGGCTCAAAGCGATACTTGTCTTCAACTGGTGCAGATGGCACAATATGTTTTTGGTTGTGGGATGCTGGCACACTTAAAATCAAGTTAGTTTATATCTTCTATTCCTGTATGATTACATGTAGTATTTTGAAAAAACTGTTCAAAACCTGGAAGTTTTTATCAATAAATATTGATAAAATATTTTATCAAAAAGAGCAAAATTGGCTTTTTTTTCTATAGAAAAATAGGGGAAATTTCTGAATTACGTTAGGATTTATAAATGCAGTAGACCATGCATTGTTATTAGTAGTTGATATTATATCAACTATTGTGTCATATTGGTTACTTCTGTGCCTTGGAAAACACAAATGCAACTTAATTATCTGAAGGGCTGTGGACACTTCAGGTACTGCATCCAAAATATACTTTTGAAGGATGTCGAGTATGGATGTAGCACCTTAAATCAGCTGCCTTTGCATGATCAAATAGATCTGTTGCAGATTAAATGCTAAGCATTTTATAGCCTATTCTTTCTCCTGAAAACTTTTTGATGCTCAGCCAACCATTCAATATTGCTAAGTGGCAACACCTAGCTAACCTTGTTTGCTCTTAAAAATGAAATCAGAATTGGATCTGATTAATACTTGTAAAAGAAGATTGTCAGAAAAAAACATAAGTCTGTTGACTAGAAAGGGAAGTCATATATTCTAGAAAAAACTTCCATTATGTTGTCAAGAAATCTGTGGATGTGTGCATGAAATCATTAATTTATCTTAACTCTTAAGTGGAGAGCCATTAGTTTTTTTAGCTTAAACTCTTTTCAGTGTCTTGAAAATGGTGCAGCTGTGCAGTTTAAACGGAATGTCAACTGCATGACCATAGAGTTTAGTTTATACTCATACTTTAGAAATATCTTAATTGCAAAACAATACACTTATAGTATGCATTCCTGCTCAGGATGTATACTAATTATGAAATAGACTAAGTTGAACATAATTTAAATTAATGATTTAAATATATTTAAATGAGTAGACTTTAGTTTTCCTATGATAGAGCACTGAAAAGGTGGGGTTTAGATATATGTCAACAGATATTCAGAGATATACAATAGATAGACATATCAGAGAATATAAAAAGGCTGAAATCCTTTGTGGGTGTGCAGTGTATATAGTTCAATAGTTTTTATATCCTGCAGAGGTCCATGGGGTTTTAGTTTAATTCAATGGGAATAAATCAAAATGTTAATGCTAGTTGGGGATATTGAAGTTTCCTCCAGTCATAAAATATCTTTAAATCTAAGCTATTTTGAGTATAAAAATATTTCTAGTCCTTCTTGGACAAAGTTTCTGACAATTAATGCAGTATTTGGAATTAACAGTGTTGCTCTTCCTTAGTTTTTAGCATATGTAATAGCTGTAATGAGGCATGTAATGCAATTAAATCCAAGCTATTTTGACTATAAAATACACTGGCTTTTGCTGTCTGTCTGTCTACCGTGCTTCCCCCAAAATAAGGCTCAATCTTATTTTCTTTTGCCCGATCCCAAAGCACTAGGTCTTATTTTTGGGGAAACATGCTTTCAGGGTGATCAGCCCAGCTGAGTGCCTCACTTCCTGGCACACAGACAATAGCCAGCAAGCACACAGGGATTGACGGTATCTGGCAGCAGCTACAGCAGCCTACCGGTCCCTTGGTTGGCGCACTCTAGGACTGCACAGAGCGGAGGGCATGGAGTGGAAGACAGGCAGTCCCAACGCACTGTGCAGGTTGCAGGCAAGCTAAGAGATACGAAGATGAGCTTGTGTCTGCCTGCCGCTCTGGCCAACCACACTTGGCTTTCTTACCCACACAGTATGTTTGGATCTCCTGCGCCTCTACTTCTGTCTACTGCTTTATAGGTACTCAACTCACTTGTGTTGCGTAGGCTGCAGTTGCTGCCAGACACTATTGGCCCATGCCTGCTTATCGCCTGCTATGTTGACCACACCCACCCCTTTACTAGGGTTTATTTTGGGGGTAGGTCTGATTTTCAGGGAAACTCTGTCTGTCTATATCTATCTATCTATCTATTTATCACATTTTTATCTATAATAAATCCTATTATAAATGATAAACAAATCTAAAACAGAAACTTTGAAAGAGGTTCTCATTCACTTTCTCTCAGAAATGTTTGCTCATAATTAGTTTACTCTTGTAATAATTACTGTTTAATTCAGTTATTTTAAATCACTTTAATATATTTAATTATATATATTTAAATCTTTGCAGTCCAAGGCCAACAAAGTTTACAGAACGGCCAAGACCTGGAGTCCAAATGATCTGCTCTTCATTTAGCGCTGGTAAATTGCACAATTATTCTCCCCCAAATTAATTGTATTACCTGAATATAATGAAAAATTATAATTATTTATAATATATAATATTTATAATTCAAAAATTCCCACTATGATCTTATTCCTGTTAATCCCCAAATGGCAATATTCTTAACTGATGCATAAGCGCTTTACCTGCATTTCTATCCTGCTTTTCTTTGGACAGCTGAAAGTGACATACATATAGTCCTTCCACAGTTTTTTCACAACAATCCTATTTGGTAGGTTGTTTGACCAAGAGAAAGGCCCACCCATTGCGTTTTCACTTAACCTTCTGCTGGTTCTCAATTAGCTGGTGCCTATGAAAGTTTAGAAATAATTATGTAATAGTATCTGAATCTATCTTGCTATCTTGAATTCTAATACTTAGCTGAAAACCCATTGTGTAGTAAAAATAATTTTAGTCATGTTTTGTTTCTTCATGGGAGAAGCACCCTGGAATAAATTAGGGGAAACAGATGTATGATTGTAGTAGAGAGTCAGTGTGATATACTGCATGTTTGCAGTTGAATGGAACTAATATTAAAAGAACATGGTTTGAGATTATAGTATTATAGTAAATCTCCTTGGCAAATTGATATAGTGATATTTCTTTTATGTTTGCTTTTCTTTAGGTGGAATGTTTCTGGCCACCGGAAGTACAGATCATATCATTAGGGTTTATTTCTTTGGATCAGGTCAGCCAGAGAAGATATCAGAGTTGGAGTTTCATACTGTAAATACCTTCTCTAAATTGTTTAGCTCTTTGTTTGAAGTAAATTAATAACCTATAGTTATGTTGTTAATTTTTTTCTTGTTCACCCAGGACAAAGTGGACAGCATTCAGTTTTCTAATACCAGTAATCGGTAAGCAAATTATTTATATATGAATCTCATGTTCTCTTGAACTACCTTTATGAAAACTGTACTGTTACATAATTGTTAACGTTCAACATGCTGATTTAACTATCAAATTATATAATTAGACATACTTTGAGCATTTTTTAAATTTTGCATACTGCAACATAGTTTATATAGTATGGAAGTTATTTCCCATTAAATGTACGTGATATTGTGCTTTACTTAATAATTGATAGATTCAGTGTCTGATTTTGGCTGAATTACTGAAGTAGCCTAAGGTTTGTTTATGAGAAAGATACTTATAGATACATATTTCACAACAAACTTTGTTTCTGAAAGGTCTTGTAAGAAAGCCTTCATTAATTTTATTGATACTTTTATTGATGGATAGGTAGGATTGTGCCAAGCTTGAAAAGGTGCTTTGATTTGAAAAAGCTTCAATAAAAGCATACTGTTAAAGCAGAAACCTGTTTTGAAGTCATACATCAAATCGGGTAGCTATAAAATGATATGAAGATTTGAGATCTTCAGTACACCAGGATTTGCAGTAGGCACAAAAAACATTGTAACTTCATTTCTTTATTTAAAGGATGCCAAGGGGATTTGAATGATTTGATCAGTTTCATCACCTTGTTAAATCCTGCTTTGGTCTTCATTCAATTTTTCAGCTTACAACTTCTTTTCGGCAGCCTGGTACAAATCCTAATTTTGCTCTCTCTTGTGCTAATGGAATATTACACAACTGGGAATTTAATTTAACCCTCACTCTGAATATGGGTTGAAGGCTGTTAAACCTAGTCCATGCTATTGGATGAAGCCTCATTTGGCATGATTATGTTTGACCTTCTACCACTGTACCATAGTTTATTTTATATTATATATAAATATATTTTATATATTTTAACTTACTGCACCTGTGTATGGTTTGCCAATTGCACAGTGGCAGATAGGACAGCACTCCAGAAGGTTAACATTATTGTCCAGATGATCATTGGTTGCCCTCTCCCCTCTTTGGGAGAGCTTTATATAGATCCCGCTGCCTTAAGAAAGTTCAAAACATTCTTAAAGATCCCTCTCACCCTGGTCACCTTTTTTTGAACTATTACCATTTGGCAGACGGTACAGGATAATAAAAACAAGGACAAATATGCTGAAAAACAGCTTCTATCCCAAGGCAGTAATTATATTGAATTCTACCGTATAGTGCAATATTAATGCAATATCGGGTTTTCAATTCAATTATATAGAATGTGAAGGATGTGTATTTGTGTTGTTATTTTTATAGTTATAATGTACACTAAAGATGGCATTTAATTTCATTGTACGAGATGCAATGACAATAAAGTAAATTAAACTGTGAGTAGGCAAGGTTTATTTCTTATGGCTGTTTGTTTTTTAAAATATTTTTTTAAGATTAGGGGTAACAAGGTTGTGAAATCTACTTTCTCTGTTCCACCTTCTTTGGATTACCTATATTTGTGAGATATTTTCATGATGCCATTCTATTAAAATATTACCATTGAGTTATGATTGCATATTTGAAGTATAATAGTGATGAAGGGATTTTCTCCCAAGAAGGTATTTGCCAAGCCAACTACCCCAAGTTTGTAATACAGGTAGTCCTTGACATATGTCCACAATTGAGCCAAAAATTTCTATTGATAAGTGAGACATTTGTTAAGTGAGTTTTGTTCCATTTTGCAACCTTTCTTACCATGGTTGTTAAGTGAATCACTGCAAGTGTTAAGTTAGTAACACGGTTGTCAAGTGAATCTAGTTTCCCCATTGACTTTGCTTGTCAGAAGTTTTCGAAAGGTGATCACATGACCCCAGTACACCACAACCGTCATAAATATGAGCTAGTTGCTGAGTGTCTGAATTTTGATCACATGATCATGGGATGCTGCAGTGGTCGTAAATTTGAAAAATGGACATAAATCACTTTTTTCAGTACTGTTGTAACTTTAATGATCACTAAGTGGACTGTTGTAAGTCAGGGACAACCTTAATAGCCTAACTTTTTATCCAACGGTGTCACGTTTCTAAATTATTGAACACTATTCTAGAAAAGCAAGGTAACTATTCACTCTCATGCCTAATGGTCACTTTCTCTCAGCCCAATTCACCTGACAGTTGTTATTGTGACAAAACTAGCAGGAAAGAGTATTGTATGTGCTCACCACATTCAATTATTTTTTAAAATAAAAAGGCGGGAAATAAACGCTACTGTTACAAATCAAGTGGAAAATAATTTTTCACATTGGTTTTGAAAACGTTTGCTTTTAATTTGGAATTTTCTGCATCATTTCTGCACAATTTTAATTTGCTGGTCAATTTCCAGACAATTTATCTTAGAAGATGTTAGGGAATGTTTTCAAAATCTATTCCAGGAAACCTGGTATAGCAAGCTTATTTGGTACTTTTTTCATCCTATTTTGCCAAAGTATAAGGCAACTAAATGTGTTTTACTGTTTCCTCAATATATCTTTCCAATGAATTTTTTTTTTCCAATTTGAATGTTCAAGCAATTTGAATTGAATAAGTTTGCCTTCAAAACAGGAATCAAAACATGTCCTTTTCATATCTTGAATTCATAGTTAATCAGGTCCCATTTACATGGACCTATGAACATTTCTCTCCATATAGGGAAAATTATGTATTTTGTGAGTAAGAATTTTTCAAGTGGTTCATGCATGCTGTAGTTTGTGTTGTTTTACACGTGCATGTGCGCACACACACACTTTAAGAAGGATTATGATCCTTCTTTAAAAATGGGAAATGGAAATGATCTATGTGTGTGGGGTGTTATGCAAGAAACACATATTAACTACATGTGAATATATAAAATTAAATTAAACTATTATGTTTTATTTCTGCTGGTTTGTTCTTTTAAGTAGAAGGAATAGCAGTATTATATAAACATTGATAGTAACATATTCTGTTAAAAATCTTTTTAATGTCTAGAGTTGATTAGATACTTAAATAAATAATAATACCCCTGACTATAGTTTCAAGGTCACCAAACACAGGATAATCAATAGGCAAGAGTATTTCCCTATCAGCATTTCACAGCTTTAAAATATCTGGTGTGTTATTTTCTCATTTTCAAAAACCAAAATTATACTGGTCATGATTTCTAGTGAAGTGTTTAATAATAGTGTAGGTTTATTTGTAACAGGCAGTCTTTCATGAACCTTAGTATCAAAGCCAAGATATGAAAAGCTGTTGAGGGCTTTGTGGGACAACACCTGCACTTTGAAATAGAAAGAAATGGAAACCAGGGGTAATGATACAGAATTCATCTTGAATTTTGTTGCTGGTAATTTTTCTGAACTAGCAACAGTTTCCTTATAATTACTATTTATAAACTAATTTTAAAAAGTTGTAGCTGCTGTCATTTAAGTAATTACCAAAGTCCATATGTAGTTTAATATCCTTATCAATTTCATAAATTATTGAAAAATAATAACAGTTTTAAAAACTGTAATACAGGTAGTCCTCAACTTACAACCACAATTAAGCCCAAAATCTATGTTGCTAAAAGAGAAATTTGTTAAGTGAGTTTTGCTCCGTATTATGACTTTTATTGCCACATTTGTGAAGTGAATCACTGCAGTTGTTAAATTAATAACCTGGTTGTTAATGAATCAGGTTTTTCCATTGACTTACTTGTCAGAAGGTTGCAGAAGGTGATCACATGACCTTGGGATACCGCAAACGTCATAAATGTGATTCAGTTGTTAAGCATGCAAATGTAAATCGTGTGACCATGGGGATGCTGCAGGAGTCATAAGATTAAAAATGGTCATGGCACTTTTTTCAGTGCCATTGTAGCTTGGAATAGTCACTAAGTGGACTGTTGTAAGTCTAGGACTCTGTTGCCTTTTATGTTTCTGAATTCTTTTCTACACAGAGTCACTGACTCGTTTCCTGGTACTTGTCTGTATTACCTTCTTTGATTTCCTACTTTTCTTCCAGGAGTTTCACTTCACCAGAAAACACTTGGATATCCTTGTGTTTTAATCCCACTCGTTTGGTTCCTAAAATTTATGAACCTGTAAATTAATTATATGGCCTAATATCACTAGACTACATTTTGGATTTCTAGGATCAGTTCTAAATGTTTTCACGGGAAAACATACACTGTATGAGGATATATTTTCTCTCTCTCTCTTTAGATTTGTGAGTGGAAGTCGTGATGGAACAGCACGTATCTGGATGTTCAAGAGAAGGGAATGGAAAAGCATTTTACTGGATATGGCTACCCGCCCCTCAGGGTAAACTATTTTTGTATTTACCTACATATAATATAGTTTTCTGTTACTGATGTTAAGGTAGAAATAATTTTGTGATAAGGGAACAAGCTAGGACTATTTCCAAGATTTCTTTCAATTTTGAGTTTGTAGTTGGTGTAGTGAATTCCTGATTCTTAGGAAACAAGGTTGTTATCTTGAAAGCATGATGGGTGAGATGGAGAGATAAGTAGATGAGATTTTACAGAATTTAGCAGTTTTGTTCTACTTCTAGAATCACAGTTTCCTTGCTGTCATTTCAAGAAGAAAGAAAATAAGAAGGACCAAATATAACACAGCTTTTAGTTATGGGTGATTTAGTTATCAGTAACACAGAGATGGGTTTACTGTCGATTTCATGGTGATGTAAAAAATACAAATAAACACAGACTGTTGAGATACGCTGCTGGATAAAGATGGGTAGGAGGCAGTCGTTCTGTTACACAAATGCATTGGGGGCCCTGGAAGATATAGTTGACCAGTTCTCAAAGCCAGGTTTGGCCTGAAACCCAGCAGTTTGAATTGCAAACTTGCCAAGTGCTCCAGTTCCTCTCACATAGGGCCATAGATAGGGACAGGTGTGAACAGATAGATAGATAAGAACCTACTCTTCTACAGTACCTTTATGAATGAATAAAAGTGCTAGTCTTGCTTAAGTCTCCATTTGCCATCTCTTGGGTAATAGGGCACAGTAATTACTATATTTTTCGGAGTATAAGACACACCTTCCCCCCCTAAAAGAGGGTGAACATTTGGGTGCCTCTTATATACTGAATGTAACCCCACCCACCCACCAGCCCCAACCCTTTGGCCTCTGCCTCCCAACAATTTACCTCCTTGCAGCAAATGGGGGCTTGGGGAGGCTGCAATAGGCTATAGCAATCCCTGCAGTTTGAAACAGCTGATCTGGAGAAATTGAAAGTGAAACTTGCTGTTTGCTTCATGAGGCAAATTGCTTGGAGGCAGATATTTTTTCTTGTGCTAATCAGGCTGTTTGCTGCAAGGAGGTAAGTCAATAACTATAAATGCCTATAGAATGTTCAAATTATTAGACCTATTTTTTAAAGACTGCTTTATTATTATTCTAGCCAGCTTAACAAAATAAAGAAGCTTTTTAAAATAAATGCTTGATCTGCAGAGGCCCAGTATTATTGTCTCTTCTTTTAAATAACAGAGAATAACTATAAATCCAGAAAGCCACATCAATTTTAACAGCATCTGTACAAGTATAGTCTGAAATGTAACACTACAACAGTGTATATATTGTCTATACTGTTTGTTGTTTGTTGCAAGGAGGGAATTGCTGGGAGATAGAGACAGATATTTTCCCCTTGTTTTCCTCCCCAAAAGCTAGGTGCGTCTTATACGCCAAAAAATAAGGTACAAATTGTAAGCCATGGCAGCAGGGAACTAAATGCTTCCCTACTTTGATCCATATGAACTAGTGGGACTTGCATAGTTATGGTGATTGTTCTGTCCAGTAATCTTTTGTATCTCATTCCTAATATTGATATTGTTATAGTCATCAACTAAAACTTTTAAAATTTTAGATATATTTTGGAAATTTTCTCATTGGTATAATGCTTCTATTTGCTGTTAATTCTTCATTGTAGACAAACCCTACAAGGAGTAGAAGACAAAATTACAAAATTGAAAGTCACTATGGTGGCATGGGATCGTCATGACAACTCTGTTATTACTGCAGTTAACAACATGACTTTGAAAGTTTGGAATTCCTTCACTGGTCAACTTACTCATGTTTTACTGGTAATGAAATAATAAGAGGATTTATTTTCTGGAAATAGCTGTCTTCAAACAGTAATTATAATCAATTAAAATGAGGTGTTTTGATTGTACACTTAGTATAGAATTTAAATTTCAAAGTATTATACAGTAAAATCTTTTTAAAAAAACAACACATTCTTGAGTTTTTTGCATGATTTTTTGGAGGTACAGTATGATAAACTTAACAGTTTATGTGTTTATGCATGAAAATAAACATTTTAGATATTGTATATATTGGAGGCAAAGCTAATTTACATGTAATGATAAACTAGCATTCTTTAGAATTCTAGCTTATTGTGATAAAATAAACATGTTAGTGTACACTGTTTGTTTGATTCTTTTTGGTGGTTCTTGCCAGCAGGTATAATTAAATGAATTGAGAATCCTTGCAATGGATGAGAATTAATGCTGGAGACCTGGTTTCAAATTCTGTCCTTTTACTAGAGAAACTGGATAGAGATTATGGTTTACCTTATTATTGAACTATTGATAGATTTTCTCTTATTTGTTTGGACAGTCCTGCTGGCAGGGGAACCAAGTTGGGGTAATTGTACATTTTACATCAGGTTATAGTGGAGGGTTCAAAGAACATTCACTATTAGAAATCCTACTATTTAATTATATTCTAGTAGTTCCTACAGCTGAAGTTCTTGCTGAACTGAACAGCATTTTGTTGATAAAAATTTGTATATTGCAAATAGGGAAAATTGACAATTGATACTTTTCTTCTATTCTTCTATCCTGCATTATCCCTTCTTTAGTTTATTGGCTGGCTGGTTATTTTTTGATTTAGTAAAATAGTTCAATGTCTTTAACTGAATTTTATTTCTAATTTATAAAACATTATTCTAGGGTCATGAAGATGAAGTATTTGTACTTGAAAGTCACCCTTTTGATCCCAGGGTTCTCTTCTCTGCTGGTCATGATGGAAATGTTATAGTATGGGATTTGGCAAAGGGAACAAAAATTCGTTCATACTTCAATATGGTAAATATATTATTTGTATTAACGTTTTACAAAAGCTTGTTCTATCTGTTATTAATCTAATGCAAAATGACAGAGTTGTATGGTAAATGTTTAATCATTCATAGTAAGCAATTTAAAAAGTAACTTTTTTACTTTAAATATTTTGAATAGGCGATTAAACAGTTCAAATTATTAATAATAGTAATCCCAGGAATAAAATGTAATGCTACTCCTCTTGGGAGATCCTCTTTATCATTTGGGTAATAAGATATACCAGTAGAATAGCTAGCTCCAATTTTGTGTTCTCCCAAAATTGCCAGAATATCTGGAATGTGCAAAAGGAGGAATAAAAGCTTTAGTCATAGTATTAGTTGAACTTTTGCATCCTGCTATGTATATTTAACCCCCAGTCTATTCAGATATAATTTATAGCTTGGATTAAATATGGACAATGTAAACTTTGGGCCTTTTTGTGTGTGAAAGAAATTGGGGAAAAAGTTGTGAAGCCCTCCCCCATCCTTGCCCAGTAAGTGATGAGGAGGAACTTCATAGTTTTGCTCACTCTGTGAAGACCTGAACGGAGTGTCTTCATTTAAATTGCACATCAATTAGCAATGTTTATAATTAACCCCAACTATAAGCACAACCACAATTCAATATATAATCGGAAAAGTACAGTTTAACCCTTCACAACAATTTAGGCTCTTCAATTGTCTTGGGAATGTGAAAGCATGTATTTTCCTGAGCCCAGGCAGCTGCCTAAAAGTTCAGGAAAAGATGCAGTTCTTCAAAAGGATTGTTGATAGATAGATACTGGGTCTGGTTATGAGCATGTCCATACCAGACCAATAGCATTTTTGTTTGCTTTAGATCCAAAAACTTTACACCTATTTGATAGCCATGGTTTAGGTGGAGCCAAGAAATTATAAATTGTTTAGGTTTCCTGTATTAACCATTGCTTAATCAAAGAATAAAGCAAATTAGCTCAATACACACACAAAAAATAGTTCATGCTATGGCTTATTAAGCTGAGATATAATAGACAAAAATTGTCATGTTCTATTTGTCTAGAACAATTTTATTTCTAATGGTTTTAATCCAGGCATGTAAAGAACCACAACTATGTGCCCCCTTTCTAGTTTGTATATATGTATCTTGTATCTTGATGAATTCCATATTTAAAAAAGTGTTGAAATGTTATAATTTTAAATTGTCCTTGGATTGTACACTATCTACTAATTCAGAGCAAATGGGTTTTTGTAAAATCAAGCAGAAGCTTCTGGTGCACAAGGTAATTCCTTATCTCATTGTTACTGACAAAATAGTTTGCATTTTTCACTTTTTTGGTTTTTTTTGTTGAGAAATATATACATATGAATAGGCAAAATAAAATTGTGTTTTTAATTGTAGGATTTTGCTTTTGCAGTTGGGGGGGTGTTATCATAAATTTGATGTAAATGTAGCAGTACATAGGCATGAACTATTCAATATTTTGATTGCTAATCAGTGCTATTAGCGCATTAATAATTGTAAGGCATCACTTGACCTTAGGTCTGTACCTCTATTTATATTCCACATAAAGGGAAGGCCTATTGCATTAAATATTTATGGTAAAGATGTCGTACTAAGTAGCTTGTATCCCAGTGACTCAATGGTTATGACCATGTGATTTTCTTGGCAACAATATAGAAGTGGTTTGCTGGTACTTTCTTTCCAGGATGTTTGTTTGCTTCCTAAACTGGTTTACAACCCCTGTATCCTCTGTTAGTCTCTCCCCATTAGATCAGTAGTGGCAATAGGGTCTTGCTGTTTTCGACAAAAGCTGTTTTGCAAGCTCCACACAATACAAATGGAAAGGTAGCTTATCAGGTGATACTGCTTACATTACGCTGGCTCTAGCCAGGCCTGACCTAGTTTTATCTTTCAAGCTATAAAGTTAGCCAGATGTGCCAAATAAATGTGCATCATCTTCATATTGCAAACGTCATATGAAGTTAAACTTATTAAACTGGGCAATCAGATGTATCTTCTGAGTATCACCTCAGTTGAAAATAGGAACTCTGAAATATGAAGTAGAAAAAGGTTCTTAATGTTTTTTTTCTTGGATTCAGCACTGTGAATATAAATGTATCATAGAGGAGAAATATGCTTCATAAACTCATCTGGATTCATGTCATCATGAATCTGTTGAGTTTAGATCAAATTTGCTTGTTTTTTAAACATTTCTTTAGAAATGGATTCTTGAAAAAGTCAATCATTTTAAGAAATAGCAAGATAGTTAGTGTCAAAACAGGTTGAGTTTTGGAGAACACCACTACATTAAAATCTTGCCCTTATAATGTTTAGTCATACATATTACTTATGCTGGTGGCAATAGAATAGTTTAAGCTGTCAATATTACTTAAAACACATCTTTATATTTTAATAATGGTTTTCCAAATAAATTACTGCAATTATGAGCCCTAGCTTTTATATTAAAAATATGAACATTTCTTAAGTTCTTCACTACTTTTTATATTTATAAACTTAATTCATTAGATTGCATTATAACAAGAATTTCTTAAATTTTAGTGTAGCAGTAGTCACTATTTAGAAAAAGAAGCAGAAAGTAAAAAAAATAGCTTAAGGTCCAAGTACCATATTTTTTGAACTATAAGTTGCTCTGGACTAGAAGTGACACATCTAGCTTTTGGGGAGGAAAACAAGAAAAAAACATCTGTCTCTGCTTCCCAGCAATTGGCCTCCTTGCAGCAAACAGCCTGGTCAGCTTCAGCACAGACTGATTTAGCATGAGCAGCTGATTGGCGATTGGATCAGCCTCCCAGAATACTACTGACCAGCTGTTTCAGGCAGCAGGGATTGCTACCTCCCATTGCCGCCACCTCCCTGGCACCCCATTTTTGACCCCGCCGAATCCCATTTTTGGCCACAGCGTGGAACAGCTGATTGTCAGTATTCCGGGAGGCCAATCCAACTGCCAATCAGCTGTTCGTGCTAAATTGGGCTGTGTTGAAGCTCACCAGGCTGTTTGCTGCAAGGAGACAAATTGGTGGGAGGCAGAGGCCAAAGGGTGGGGACTGGCAGTTGGGCGGGGCTTCAACAACATTCAAACTATAAGATGCACAGACATTTCCATCCAGTTTTTTGGGAGGGAGGAGAAAGTGTGTCTTATAGACTGAAAAATACGGTATATGGAATGCAGTCAGTCTTAACAAGCTGAGACATGAATAAGCTTCCTGTATGTAGACTTATTTTCCTTATGTGTGAATATGCATTTACTTGGTTCGTGTTGTAGGAGAAGAGAAGGAACTTGTTGATATCTCAATTTTAGTTTCTAAGAATAAAAAATTATTTTCATGACTTTTAAGAACCTTTCTAAGGTGTGTCCATAAACAATGCACTATTATTGAAAAACTGTTCTTTCTGCACTTTATTCACCAATCAGTACAGAAGATATAATGAAGCAATTTGATAGAAGGCAGTTTCTTGCATTATAACTTTTTAAATCTGGAGGATACTGAGAAGAGCATTTTAGGGTTTGTTTTTAAAAAATCATGGAAGAAGTTAGCCATTTTTATTTTTATTTTTTTTCATCTAAGAAAGCTCAGGGTATGTATAATTTTAAGAGATGAGGGAAGGACATTAAACTTGCCTTATTTTTCTGCATCTTTTGTTTCATTTTCTATGTGCGAGTTATAGTGGATATAAAAAGCTACATCCTTATTAAAATACCAGGTTTTTGAGATGTAAAAAAATTAATTACTTCAGAATTTTTTTATTTCTTTAACATAACATTGAAGCTTTACAATCCAATTTCAATTTTAAAAACTGAAATCTTTTAAGGATAACAATAACAATATATAATAACTCATTTGCATGAAATGTGCATACTTAAACTAATACTTTATTGAAGCATTTTTTGGTTTTATGACAACATTCAACCTTCTGGGGTAGGAACCTTATCAGCATGCCACATCTTGCCTTTGGAATCTTTGCCCACTTTTTCTTGCAAAAGCACTACCTGTTACATAGTGAGAACATCTCCTGTACACAACTCTCTTTAGGTCACCCCGCTGTTTTTCAATTGGATTCAAATCCAAGATCTGGCTGAGCCATTCCAAAACTTAGATGTTTTTCTTTGTTGATTCTTTGTTGATTTGGGTTGCTGTTGTGTTGAAAGTTGAAATTCCTCTTCAGCATTTTAGCACAGGCCTGGATGTTTTGTGCCCAATTTGACTAATATTTGGAACTGTTCATAACTCCTTCCACTTTGCCTAAAGCCCCAATTCCCATTGAGAAAAGCAGCTCCAAGTATAATGTTGCCACGATTGTGCTTCACTGTGGGTATGGTGTACTTTTGGTGATGTGCAGTGTTGGTTTCTATGCCAAACATACTTTTGGAATTAGGGCAGTGGATTGCAGGCAGTACACCCCGGTACGGGCATACCGGAGCCTTCCTGGAGCACCGGGTACCGTTCAAGTATGGAGCTCCAGAGGGCCCACCTGCCCAAGCTCCTTACCTGTCCTTTAAGCCTTCGGTGCTTCCGCACATGCACATGGCACGTACAGCGCTCCACTCCGCTGAGTAGCTGGAGTATCGCAGAGGCTTGCGGAGGCATCGCAGGCAAGTACGATGCATGCGCGCACCTTGCGTGTCCATGTGGGTGATGCCGAGCCCGTTGCAACTGTACCAGTTGGAACTTGATCCGGAACCCACCACTGAATTAGCGCCAAAAAGTTCAACCTTGGTCTCATCCAACCATAACACATTTTCTTATAGGTTTTTGTCGGACTTGAGGTAGGGTTTTGCAAAATGTAGACAAGCTTAGATGTTTATTCTTTGTAAGAAAAAAACTTCCATCTTTCCACCTTACCCTACAGCCTGGGTATATGAGGAATATCAGAGATTGTTACATAGTATATAACTAATACTTGCCAGAAATTCCTGCAGCTACTGTAATGTTGTAGGCCTCTTGATAACCTCTTGGACCAGTTTTTTCTTTTTCTTCATCAATTTTGGA